AAATAAAGTATAAAATTGTCTTCCCATTTTTTTGCATAGTCAGTAAATTCCTAACATGTTCTTGGAAGTACTACGTGGCCAGTGCAAGTTCTTCGTTCCATTAATATACCTTATTTTGTCACCTCAGTATTTATATTTCAGATTTTCATTGTTCCTCACCTTTTATTTTTAATTCCATATTTCTCTCAGGGAATTCCAGCTTCCTTTCCACAGAATCCCATTGTGTCTGACGCCCTGCTTATTGGGAATACCTAGAATGTTTCCCAGTACCCAGGAGGCACTCAGAATGGAGACAGGGATGGGTGTGTCTTTTCACCATCCCTCAGTAATGTCTTTACATCTCTGCGCTCCAACTTTGTGTGGGGGTTGCAATTGTGTATTAGTCTGGAAAAATCCAATCAAATTGAACAGGGCGTGTCTCCCGGGCTGAAATCCTACTGGACAGTTACATCCATCGATGCAGGGTGTATCCCTGGAACATAGCCCAGATTGGATTATAAACCGTCTCCCAGGTATAAAGGAGCTCAAACAGACATGCAATGCATTGGCCCCAAGAAGAAGAAACTGGACAGTCTGGGACATTGGAGGACAAGAAATTAGCTGCTGCTTGCTGTGGAACTTGCCTCAGAATCTACTTGGCTTCACTGGCTCCTCCAATTTTGGGTTCTGGTGAGTTCTTCAGACTGGGAGCTGTGAGCTGTCTTCATTCTGTGAAAATGTTCCAAGTCCTATCTGTCTTAGACCCTGGTCCTGTCAAAGCAGCTCCTCGTGGCCTCTGAGTTACATCGTGTCAGTGTTTCCCCATCTCCTCTTCTCGGATTCACTGTTCAAGCCCCTGTTCTTCAGTTCCAATGCTGCTGGCTTGAACGTATCTATTTATTTTAACTGCCTAACCTAAGACCCTAAACTTGTGCTGTTCAGTACAGTAACTAGCAGTCTCCTGTGACTATAAAATGTAAATGAGTGCAGTTAAATAACTAAACTTCACATTCTGGGGACTGCTGTCAAAATTTCCAGTGTTCTGTCACCACCTGTGTGTGGCAGTTACTGCCTCGTACGATGCAGATACAGAGCCTGTCCTTCAACTAGGAAAGTGCTACTAGCACGTTGATCTACCGCTTCTGCTTCTCTTGCTGTGTTTGTAAATACTTCCTTTTCTGCTTCTCTGAATTAATTTCCTCTTAGGGGTTTCATCAAGTGATGTTCTTCATTTTATTTCTTAGGTGTCTTGTGATATTTATTTTAAAATAATTATCTCAAGATACAATAAACCTCTTGAGAGGTTTATTTTAATTCTTCCCAAACAGTAATATACATTAACCTCCTCTGGTGCCTGTGACTTGAAAGATGGACGTAGCACAGGGCTGCCAAGCTTCCATCTTCTTCCTACTTCCAGGGCTGCCATTCTGCCTAGGCCTGGGGGTTCCCTGGATACCAAGTAGGGGTTTACATGGTCCTATTTTCAATAGAAAAAAGATTCTAAGGGGAAAACAGAATGCTTCATCTGACTCTGAAATTTGCCTTGATGTCAAAAACCAAAGGTATTCCGTAGCCAACTTTTGATCAGTTTTCCTGGACAGTCCTTCCCCTTTGGATTTTCCCAAAGGCTCTAGGTAATCCAATCATTGAACTGTTTCCTCGAGTGTGTCCTTAAGCGTTGTGAATTTTTCCAGATTCTTCACAAGTTAGCAGATTCTTGCATTAATCTAGGGCTTCCTCCTAATTGAAGCTGGTAACCACACGATCAGTTTGATTGTGAGAAGAGGACGGGAGAGCAGGGACTTGTGAGCAAACATTGTCAGAGGGGATTTCTGTTTCAAGACAGATGGGATGCAGTGAGAGGACTGGCTGCCACTGTATCGAGAGGTTTCCCCTAAAACTGGGTGATAAAAATGAAGAGACATTACGATGTTTGGAAAGTGGGGTCAATACACTAGAAGCTCCCATGCGTTAGAGAATGGGTACAAGGAGTCATTTTGTGAACATGCAAGAGGAAAAAGGCTGTAATAAAAGGCAGCTTCTGATTATTAATGTTTGAGATCACATTACAGTAAACCCTAGGGAATCTTTGTTATGCAAAAAGAATTTGAGCACAGGACACCAACCAAGCAAAATTAAACACTATCTGTTCCTTATCCTAGATGTGTAACTTTGTCATATGCTGAAGTCTTTGGAACCTCTGCATGTAATTGGAAATTTGTAAATAAACCAATTTCCTCTTAAACCTCAGACAGTCCCTGTTGCTGAGTATCCTTGGCCTGGAGGGTAGAGACAGCCTGTGGCAGCGACACCGTGACTCGTACTTCTGCTCCTTTCTGGTGCAGGGATGCTAGGGACTAGACTGGCGGGATGGGAGCCATGGCTCCTCCACACGGAACAAGTCCTTGAATTAACTACATCATAAGATAGATTCTTAGTAGATTGACTTCCAAGTCCACGGGAGACATCCCTAAAAGTCAGGGTTGAGGGAGAGCTGGAAGGGAGTGAGGTTCCAGAAGGCTGCCAGGGGTGTTGGAGAACCACTGTTGGTTTCCTAAGGCAGAAGTGATCTGAGGAATTCCACAGTGTTTACCCACCAGAGAGAACCTAAAACTGCATGTGCCACGAGTCAAGTTTCCCTAGGTTTTGAATTAGGGAGGACACTGAATAATTCTGGATGCCACAGGAGAGTTAACAAACAAAAGTGGATGCCTAGCACCTTCTTACTTGTAAGGTGTCTGTACGTTGAGTTTCTGCATGAGTAACTACAGCCTCAGCTGTCTCACATGTGACTGTGGGGGAGGAGAGACTGCGTGTTATTCTTAGGATGCACCCCTTGTTTCTGTTTGGAGGGTGGGGGTCCCTCCCAGGTGAAGGTCTGGGGCTCCATTTCAGGTGGGTCTGAGAGCTGCAAACGGGGCTGGAGTCTCATGACTGTTCTTCATCCTCAGATTTGACTGCTTGGTGCTTCGATCGGCTGTGAGTGACCCAGAGAACGACTCCTGGAAACAGTTCTGACAATGCAGCCCCTGGTGAGTAGCGAGCGCCTCTTTCTCGGGAAATCGCACCCGAGTTCCATTGGATGGGCCACTTTTTCAAATTGGCATGTATGTTCCAAGTGCAATCAGGCAGTGTTCAGGCATCGGAGCTCCAATAAAGTCGCCCAGGACTCTGGGATAGTTAACACGAGTCAGCACCTCATGGGTAAATGTCTCTTTCCTAACATTTAGCCAATTTAGGGTATCTGTGTTAACGTTGCGTATTTACAGAAGAGGTAAGAAAACTGCTTTTAACTCATTCAGCCCATGGCCTGACTGGCAAAAGATTAACTTGTTGACTGGTTTTGGATGTAATGGGATCAGGGGCTGGTGACTGCCAGTGGTGGAGAGGAGTGAGGGGCAGAACGTCGCGTTCCCCAGACTCCGACGGCACAGCCTGAGGATGACCGCTCCCCGTTACACCCCCGGTGTGCACTGTTCTGTGCCGAGAGGAACAGGATGCAGGTTTATTCTTTCCCAGCTTGAAACCTCTCACAGTTATGAGCGTATGCCTGCACTACTGAAAATTTTGGGAAGATGTCACTAAAATCATCATTAGCAGTCTTTCCCTCCATTACACAGTTTACTTCTTACTAATTAACCTTTTATTCCTATTTGATAACTGGAGGAATGTGAGGGAAGTGGGGGTTTTTTCTTGTGCTTTTATTTTATTTTATTTTATTTCTGTGTGGAAAGGAGAAAGACTATAGTAAGTAGAGGAAACTTAGGCTCTTGTATAAATTTTTTTTAGTGGATAAAAACGAAACCAATAACTAGGCTTCTTTTACCCTCCAATGGAGACAAGATGAGATGACAAGGGACACGGTGATAACTAGAGTCTAGACGCCCTAGAATGTTGGGAACGGGGGTCCTGGCACCACAGGGGAGGTCAGGCGAGGACGGCCCTTCAGCTCAGCCACCCAGGGGCTCGCGGCCTTGTGCTCGGAACCACCTGCCCCCAGAGTCTGCCATGAACCCCTGAGTCCTGCAGCACTAAGACAGAGGACACCTACTGGTGCCATGTTCTATATGAAGCTTGTTCTGTTCTGAAGATGAGCAGAGTTCATTCATGGTTCTCGGACGTCTTCATGATCAGTAGCATAATGCATATATTAAATTTTACTTAGGTTTGCTAGACAGGAAACACTTCATACAATCATACATGGGATGCTCCAATACTCATTACAAGTTACTAAATCAGCTCATATTTGGAACCAAAGGTTCCTATAGGGAAATGATTTAAACAGCTCTCATGTTTTAAGTAGCACACCATGGTTATTGTTTGTCTTGTTATGAATCTGTAGAGTTACTTAAAATCAATGGGGAAAAAAGATTTAGTTATGATTTTTCAAGAGAATATTTTACAATCACCTGTCTGGAAGTCCTAATTACCAGGTTATTGAAAAACTTCTATGTTGTATTAAAATACACCTCATGCGATATTTCTGTAAAACAAAGATTTATAAAGTCATAGTGTGTAGGTGTCTGTGAATGTACATGGAAGGCAGATACCAGCTCGGCACTGACGGAGAACTGAGGGGCTGAGAAACTCGCACATGGAATGATCTTTTATACGCCAGCCCCCTTCACCCTGTCATCCCAGCTCTCCCACTCCGGACGTTGGTAGAACTGCTCTGTGTAAACCAGGTATCCCTGACGTTTTAGGAAACGGTCACCTTTGGGGACGTGGCGCTCGACTTCACCCAGGAAGAGTGGGCCCTGCTGGACACATCCCAGAAAAAGCTGTTCAGAGATGTGATGCTGGAAAACATCCACCATCTGGTCTCCGTAGGTGGGCCTGGCAGCATGTGTGTCCCTGTGGACGTGTCCTTTCCATTCACTCACTCACTCAACCAGTATTTAGAGCAGCTTCCCTATGTCCCATTCCAACTGCTTCCTGATTCTTCGATAATCGTCATAACTACATAAAAGGAAGGTATCTCTGTCTGTTGTGCTTCTGGTTGCCACACTAAAGGGAATGGCGGCCACACTTCGTAGCCTTGCTGCTGCTCAGTCCCAACACTCAGAACTGGGGATTCAACGGATATTTTAATGCATAAATAAATGGATCAAACATTTTAAAGTAATTCTTCTGTTCTAGTCACTGCATGAAGGCTTGAGAGCAAAGTGGTAAAAACTGCATAACTTGATTATTCACATGAGACTTATTAGTGATTTTTTAAAAATGATACTCAGCCCACTGTAGACCCTGCTCATCTTCCCTTTTGGAAAAGACTGAGGATGCTGTACTCTGTCTCTGAACCTGGGCAGAGGCCTCAGCCTCTCCAGGTCCTCGCTGTCTCTGCTGCTGCTCTGGGTTTCCTCCTGGTCTGATGAGGCATCTTCACTGTTCCATGTGTTGGTGATGTTATTGTCTGTGGTGCAACACCCTCCAGTTATGTCTTTATCTGTCCCATTACCCAGCCCTGGACTTGAGGACAGGGAAGGTTAATGAGCACGGACTAAATATCCACACATTTTTTTTTCAACAAACAGGGTATCAGATCTCCAAATCGGATGTGATTCTCCAGCTGGAGCAAGGGAAAGAGCTGTGGAGGGAAGGAGAAGGACGTCCCCAAGGCCGGGGTCCAGGTGAGCATCAGGGGCCTTGCTTCCACGCAGAGAGGTTCTGGCCGTGGGCGGGCCAAGCCCTTGGAAATGCCCACTGAGCGTCCGCGAAGCGAGTGGCACAGCCCAGCATGTCAGTGAGGCCCGGGGCGGGTTCCGCATACTGTCTTCACTCTGCCTACATCAGCCACAACTTGTGTGCTGTGTGTGTGCAGCCACACTTTAACGGAGCCGATTCTTGTCCTGATCCTACCATTGAAGGGTTTTCCCACCACTTGCTGACCTAGTATCTCTTCACCACATTACATTTTTATATTTTATTCCTGATTTTTTCCTCTAGACAATGATCTTTAAATGTTTCTACTACCTTGAGTATTTTTTACTTGACACAACTTCCCCATCCAAGTACCGATTTTTGAATCATACTCACAGGAAACTGGGTGTTGGACTACATTTTTATTCCACTAAAGGGATTCTAACTACCTAATTTTTTTTCAATTCCTTAGGTAGTGAAAGTCCCCTTAGACAACAAGAAATGATATTCATGCAACAAATCACCATGAGGAGCATATCCCCTACCACGTCAATGGTAAGTGTCATGGGTGTGAACACCAGGCATCCACACGAAAGACCTGGCGATGAGATAAGTTAGCACCTGAGCACACCTGTCTCCATGTAATTGAGATTCAGCTCTCTCTGGGCATATCTCAGATGGCTTGAAGTCAGTTAATAAGCTAATATGAGCTCAAAACAATCTAAGATCAACAACCTGAGATCTAAAAAATAAAAAGTCAGCTGCATAAACATTGCTTATCACTTAGTCTTTAACAAACACTGAAGTCTTCAAAATTAATCTGAGATCTCTGGGGCTGGGGTACTATAAAAGAGAAGGTGTTTGTGCCTGCAGGGGGGTAACACAACACGTGCAGGCAGATGACACTGGAAATATGTTCAGAGGAGACTGTTACTGACCGACACCCGAGGGCTCACATGTAGAGAGATGAACATACACCAGGATGTGGGCCAACCTTTAACAGCCTTTCATCTTCTCCCCCAAAGCAGGTTTCTCACACCCAAGTGGACCCCGTTGACTCTACTGATTTGAGTGATGGATTTACTGACAGATCTCCTTCAAATCAACATTTATCAATTTACTTAAGAAGGAAACATTATGTCAGCAAACAGTCTAGAACATCTCTTAGCGAAGGGTCACTCGGTAACGGACATGATCACACTCACACGAGAGGAAAATTACGTGAATGTCCTCTGTGTGGGAAAGTCTTTAGTAATTGCTTTAGCCTCAGACGACACGAGATGACTCACACTGGAGAGAAACCATATCAATGTCATCTGTGTGGAAGTGGCTTTTTGCAAAGCTCCGACCTTAGAAAGCACAATCGAACCCACACTGGAGAGAAGCCATACCGATGCCAGCTGTGCGGGAAAGCCTTCGGTCAAAGCTCCTACCTGAAGCAGCATGAGAAAACCCACTCAGGGGGAAAGCCGTACGAGTGCCGCGTGTGCGAGAAGACTTTCAATCAGCTCTCCTACCTGAGAAAGCACGAGGGCGTTCACCGTGCGGAGAAGCGCTTCGCGTGTCCTCAGTGCGGCAAGGCCTTCGGCCAGAGCTCGGGCCTGAGCCAGCACAGGCGGACGCACACCGGGGAGCGGCCGCACGCCTGCCCGGTGTGCGGCAAGGCCTTCGGCCAGAGCTCCGGGCTGGCCCGGCACCG